CTATTATAGTCTCTTTGGTCGTGTAGGAAGTAACCTTAAAAGAAAGAGTTTGACCACCCAGTGATGCAAATGCTTGGTATGAAGCCCCCCAATTGTGGCTCATGCTAATCCACCTTGTTCCACTTCCTTTCACCCACATGTTAGCAATATCTCCACCACCTCCCACATTCATCACGTACACCAACAACCAATACCCATTTCCTTGGAAAGAGAATCGTAGCCCCCCACTCTTCACACAAGGTACTCTGAGAAATCATTCAACACATAAATGGATCATCAACATCATAGCTACACATACTAATAAAGAGAATTTGATGTTTGCTATTTGCACACCACTTTAATTTGTAAATATTCGAATTTCTAGACAATGATTGATTGGTCAAATTGTTAAAGTGACCCAATGATTAATTAAGAAATGCACATGTTATGTTACTCTATTATTTTTAAGGTAATTAAATTACCTACCTGCGGTACATTACAGGAATGATTCCGGCTTTCCATTGTGCAATTTTCATGAAAGCGGGCTTGGACATGTCAAAATGTTCGCGTGGTGGGTTGCACCAGCCTCCGTTATCAGAGGCCTCGGCCCAATTAGGAGGGCAAAGATTGGTGGCAGTTACTGTAGTGTAAGGCACAGTGGAGTCGCATGCACTCGATTGGACACACTTAATCTGGTAACAAGTACCACATGCATACCCGTTATTGAACAACGTTGAACTCAAAGCCACTGTGTCTGTCCCGTAACCGTTTATGAACAAATTCCCGTACCCACATGCTCCTCCTTTAATAAATCACAAGAAAAAAATGTTTATACAAAAGTGACATTAATTGGTTAATGAAAGATGGTGAGTAACGTTGATTTATGTAGCCATTTACTTCAATTGTTGAAATGGTTTATGAATGAGGAATTGTGATAACATACCCATTGTGGCAGAAGCAGTGTCATCACCATAAAATGTGGCTTGGGCAAGAGTCCATGGACTAGGCTGAAATGTGCCTGCTACTATTGCTGCCTTTCCGATGATTATAAACGTAATCAACAAGATGCTACAATGTTGAAGCATTGCAGCCATTGTGTTAAATTTTTGGATTGCTATTAACTCTAGGAGAAGGTGTGTTCATTGATTGGTTATACATGCATCCTTATATATAAATGTCGTTCAATGGATCAATATAGCACGTCGCTTGTTGAAAGAAATTTGTCTTCGTGATCCCCACGAATTCTGGTCTCTCAAGTCAAACGGTGTTACCCTTTTTACTTTTTTTTTATTAATTTGCCTCGAAACAATGCTAGCCAATGATGTAGGACTTGATCCAGGAATGTTCTATGATTATAAAAATGAAAAACGTGCGAAGACGTTTCTTAAGGTTTTTTCCTTCATTTCATCTACGAAGCAACAATTACAAAATTCATCCATTTTCACAATAATAATAACTCCTTCAGCTTCAGGTTCACTAGTAGTTGAATTGCATATTCCAAGTAACTGTTGTACCTTGTCCAACAAGTCCACTCTATGGACTAAATAAACAAATGTTTTGGCGTTCGATGATGGTTATGCAATTTATAACTCGATGTAATCTTGGCAGCAATACAATTATATGTTAACTATGTCTGGTTATACAATGACTCCGTCTGATAACAGCAGTGATACAGTATTGAGTATTCAACCTCAGGTGATGGTTATCCCATTAGAAGCACATCCTCTGTCACCATGAGAGTGTAAATATAATTTGCCAAAATTTATTAGTCCGATGTTAGTTGGTCTGTGGTGGCCAAATCTGCTTATTCAAATTTTGAAAAATGAAAAAAAAAAAATTTGATTATTCAATCGGACCATGCAAACAGGGAGCTCTCATCTAATCTAGGCATTTATTGTTTCAACTTTGCTTTACAAGTCGTTGAATTTTGCTTTTACATTTATTATTTCAATTAGCAGCTCCGAACTAATTTTCAAAATTAACATTTGTCGTGTTTGTTCATTTCTGTAAAGTGTAGGACCAATTTTTTTATTACGTCAATTAGACGCTCAAGTGTTTCAATTAATTGAATACATGAAACAATGTTGTGAATTAGCTTTAACTATTTAATTATTGTCAATTTTCCTTATTGTTCTTAATGTTCCTGGGGATGTAATTGTAATGGTTCTGGCCTCAGTAATAGAAGGAAAAGTTTGCACAAGTGTGTAACAATAATCCTTACACACGTTATTCTAGGTTAGATTCATCGATGGTGTTAAGCACCCTCATAACTCAACTCTTTCAAGTAGAGACAATCCAGTGTATGCTATACAAAGTCCATATTACTTACAAGTATACAAAGCCCATATACTTACAAGTAGGATGGTGGCACAAACAGTTGAGATGACACCAATTGTGTGTGATAATGATAACATGACTTCAAGACCATTTTTCGGACGAACATGACAATTTGCTAATTCATAAATTTGTCACTTTCACAAGAACAGCTATTAATGATCTCACGTTGCTGGAACAATATATCTGGTTTTCGGGCATACCTGAATGTTGACATAAATATAACATGTAAGTGATCATGATGTCATTATAGTTTGCCTTATGCACGAAAAAATTGTTAGGTATTCCTAAACATGGTCCCTAACTAGTCTTTAGGTGACATGTAATCAAATGTTGTTCAATTTTTCTTATGTATTGAAAAATATATATACATGTTATATAATAATTGGTCAGAATGAGAGACACTTAATAGTCTTGAACTATTTCATAATTTTTCTGCTTGCAATCATAATTTCCAATGAATAGATCTTGTGTTTACACCATCTATAATGCAGAGTCAATCTAGACTAGAATTACTCAAGAGGTGAAGAAAACTTCAAATTCAGTTGGTGCAAAAAAACATATATAAACACATGAAAGCTTGTTAGGCATATATAGTGACTATTGAGGAATGGATGAGTGAAAATTAATGAGAAATATGGACACAGTAGAAGGCTAAATGCATCCTTTGTTTTCAATCCTCCATTTTTAAACTTCCTAATACAACCTAAAACATCCTTAAGACAAGCTTTACCTAGACAGGTGACATGAAAGTATAATTTATATATAATAATGAAATGGAAGGTCATCGTACCATTACCTTACATCAAAGTAACAAATCTCTTAAAAAAAATCACTTCTACCGGATTTTTAACTTGATAGAAAACAATATTATATTGCTGCATAAGCAGAAAATATACGCGACGATAGAGTTAGCAGAGAGATTCAAGAGTATACTAGGAATGTACCTCCGCTTAGGCGTTACTTCCTTCTGGCAATGTAATCAATCTTGTAGTTGAATCAAACACCATTTCAGTGCCACAGCTGAATCAAAATGTACCATTCGATTGTTAAATAAATGCCACATTATAAAATATAAATTAAATCAGTTTCATGATAAGAATGTGAATCACATGAAGCAACAATCGATAATTAATTACCAGTATTTTTATACTTACTCAGAGCATTTGACACTGTTGGTGGAACCACCGCTTGAAATTGAAAGTATAGTCCCAAAGAAAGAGGTATTTTCAGTACCACAATTCGGACAGGGACCCTTTAGAAAATAAATGTGTCAATAATATGTATCAGTTAAATATAACCTACTAGAGACTGTGTTAGTAAATTTATACCTTTAAAATCACAAAGTCTTTTACAATGGCATTTGTTAGAGAGAGAGCTATCCACACAATGAGTGGAACAGCAGCAAACCAAGTGAAAATGAAACTAAAAGGCTCCGGGAGCTGCACTCAACAATTCAGATGTCATAATTGCATCAATGGTAATATTTTTGAACGTCTAAGAAACTATTTCACTTCTATGTAATGTGAAGAAATCAATCTCATCATCCTTGTTTTAGTTTTCAGTGACCCCTTATCTCTGATTCCTCATCGATAAATCTTGTTTCATGAACAACCCATGTTCCAAATTAGTTATGCTGACTTCTTCAGCTTTGATGACCAGGCAAGGCAAGGTACATATATATGACTAATCATTTACCACAACAATATCAAGCTAACACATTACAATGTAATTCAAATATTAGTTAATCTCCTTTTTGTTTGACTACGAAAAATTTGGATCCTGTAACCTCTAAAATGTACCAGCTTAGACTTCAGAGAGTAAAGCGCAAGATGGTACTACCCCTACTGATTAGAAAATTGAATGATTTTTTACAAATCTATGAATTGCTATCATGTTGCTTTTACATTATAAAAGAATTAGATACTATTGATCATTTTTTTAATCAAATGGCAATTTACTTTGCACTTTTCTCTCTGAAGTTCAGTCTGCATTTTAGACCTTTTTTTGGACTGGTTCAGAGTTCACACCATATTTTTTTCTAACTAGAAGATATATGCAATCTAATAAAGAAAGGAAAGGACCATAAAAATGTAACTACTTATCACATGCTATGGCATTTTTAAATCAAACTGCTTCTGAATGACCAGTTTGCGATGCTAGATGAAAGGTAATGAGAGGAACATACCTCTAGAAGATATGTGATCTCAAATCCAGTCAGATCATCAAGGAAGAAGAACCTAATGGATTAGGCAGAAAAGAAATGAAATTAAAAGAAAAAAAAAACTCAAGACCTATCGTGTGCAAACAATAACTTCCACGTCAATTTGACTCAGTAAAATCAAACCAAGAAACAATCTATCTTTTGGGATCAAAAACCTTTTATTTAAGAAAGATAAATAATAAAAAGTAAAAATGTGGATACTGATATGAAAATTGTAAAATATGAGGGAGCAGTCAGAAATCAGAATATGACTGCAGGTAGATGAATGCACACGTAAGAATCAGAATTATATTTGCCATTTCCTACATTCCCTTTCATCCCCTGCTACGTCACAGTCATGAGTAAGACATGATTTAATCCCTCAAAAAAATGAAACAAGATAAATACATTCATATCAACTTGCAGAAAACGGGAATATGGGCATTACAACATTTATTTTAGAACATCCAGTTTGATCACTTCAACGTATTTGTGTGTCAATGAAACCAATTGTTGGCAGTAGCTGGTGCTAAAACTTTCACTAAATACATCATGAACTCATTGGCTCTAAAAAAATTAGAGAGAGGAGGAGAGAAAGAAAAAAGCTACTTACAATCCTAATGCAATCACAGTAGCCGGGACATTCAGCAGGACAATCTTTCAATAATCAACAG